TACTGCCCATTCTGAGTAACATTTCCTAGTGAAACTGACTTCAGTACAAGAACTTCAGGGTAACATCAAAAATCACTTGCGTAAATCTGTGTACCTTAAGATGTAAACAAACTGAAATAAAACAACACAGGTAGTAGTCTAACAACAGAGAGTGGTAATTAAAGAATCTCTCACAATGCATTCTGAGCCTACTCAAGGTTGTTGAAACATTCAGTTAGGTGACTATCCTCACAAGATACATTTCTAGTTCTACTTCCTTATATTCTTTTTCTAAGGCTAGAAATATCCTTGCAGTATATGCCAGAGTTTTGTAATTTCAAATTAAAAGAAGTCCACTTTTTTTTAAAGTGGAAATAATAAACATGCTCCAATTTGCTTGAGAAAGTTCTTTTCCAGAAGGTAAAATCCAAGGTTAAAACCAAAAATCATTTACTGTGTTTAGATTGGCAAGCTTGTTCTCTGAAAAACTGGATCCAAATAGTAGAATATTATTCAAATATTCTATTATTATTTTATATTAATAATATTCAAATATTATTTTCAGTAGGTTAAAAAATTTTAAAAGGCAAAACATAAAGAAAACAACCTAAAACTGGTGCAGAAATAAGCATATTGATTTTTCTAAATTGCAATTGTAGTGTGAATTGTTCTTTATTATGGTTCTATACAAAGAAGTCTACTTCTGATTGCACTGAAATATCTACAAATTTTGTGGTACTTTTGACTTTTAAAAAAACTCTCAGTACACCAGCCACATAATACCAGATTCCTACAAGGAATACACAAAAGCCCAGAATTCACAGAAAGATATTGTCTCTTCCCTGCCTTTATAATGCATAATATTCTTTCATTAAAAACTGAAAATGTCACAGTGCAAGTTTCAAACTCCCAAATCTCAAGAACCAATACCTGATTAAAACAAAACCAAACCCACTGCTGTTAAAACAATTCCAACTCACAGCATCCTTACAAATGGAGAATTTCCTCAACAAGTGGCTGCAATCTTTTTCTTTCTTTTTTATTATTATTAATTTTAATGAACGTTTACAGAGACTTTGGATTTCCATTCATTCATTGTTGCACTTTCCTCCCTGCCCAGCCCTCCCTCCCCCCAGTTCACTCTTCTCTTTGAAAAGTAAAAGAAATATTCTTTCATTGTTGTACAATCCCTCCCCACTAAGTCCACTCCACTATGCAGCCTTTGTTCTGGACTCCTGTTGTGAAAATAATACCTAATCATATATTCCTTTTGAACAGTTCTCTCCCTCATCTGTTTCAATGCAGTATACATAATTTATCCCATCTTTCTCAGTCTCCCCCCCAACCCCAATGTCAGTCTTGTCAATGTCAGTCTTGTTTTACAACAGTGGCACTATATACAGTATTTGTCCTTTTATGACGGAGATATTTTACTCACCACAATGTTCTCCAGGGTCACCCATTTTGTATAATATTTCATATGAGTTCTCCGTTTTTCAAAGGAGCGTAGTATTCCATTGTGTGGCGATACCACAGCTTCTCCATCCATTCATTTGTTGATGGGTACTTAGGTTATATCCAACTCTTTGCTATTGAGAACAAAACATGGGTGTACATCCATCTGCTTGGGTGGCTGTATGGTTTCTTTGGGGAAGTGGCTGCAATCTGAACGACAGCAGGCTGCCACATTGTTCTCCTGAGGACCTCCTCAGGGGTTTGCATGGCTGACTTCTTCAAGAGGATCTCAGTGCTTACTGCACCATCATTACCACCCGACTAAAACTCACTTATTGCCCCTGAGTAAAACCAACTCAAACACACTAAATTCCAATAAGAACATGCCAAACTCTACTTGAGTCATTTTACCTTAGCTATTAAACACAATTTTAAGTATTTTAAATAATAAATGTTAAATCAAAAGAAATAAATGACCACATATTGATACTGGTAGACTCTTGAAAGCAAAAAAGTGCTACAAGTGCTAGCATTGTCCATAAGATAAAATCATATGAATGGATAGAGAAAGTAGGGTATAGTCACACAATGGAATACTATACAGTACTGAAAAATAATAAACTCATAAAACACTATAGAAGGTATATTAGTATGAAAAACATACTAAGTTAAATATCTCAGTCATAAAGAGACAAATACTGCATAAGTCCATTACAGTAACAATAGGATCAAGATGGGGAAGGAGGAAAAGAATGAATAAGTAACACTGCACTAGGATGAGTGAAAGGTAGGGACAATTAGAAACCATGTGTGTGACAATGAATAGTCGTAAGAGGGGAATTGAGGGAGGAGAGGGAGGGAAGAGATTGTGCATGAATGAATGAACAGTACTTTTTCTTAATTATATGAAACTGGAATAGGAAAATTATGGTTACTACATTCTTCTAAATGGTATAGCACTCTATTGGTATTGCTGTACAGAGGTAACTCATGGTCGCTGTGATGCTGAACACTGTGACACTGATGGGTCAAATGCGATAATGGTTACCCATGGTGGACAGTGTTTCCTGGAGCTCCCTGACTAAAACAAGCTTGGAGGCAGGAGTGGCATCCCTTTCCAAAATAGCTTGCCTCAAGAAACTCTATGAATTTGGAGAAATGATGAAAGTTATACAAGTGTTCAGGTCTTTAATTCATAGGGTCACTTTAAGTCATCTATGACTCAATGGCACTTAACAGCAACCACCCCAATTTGGTGGGCCATAAGGTTTTTTAAAGTAATAACACTTACAAAAGAAAATGAAGCACAAATATAAGTTCAAGCAATTACCAAAAGTAGAATAAATACACTGAGATTCCAACATGAAAATATTGTTTCTTTGCGATTGCTAACAAGACAATTCTTATTCATGATGATGCATGTCTATCAAAGTAGAACTGACCTGAAGAGGGTTTTCAATGGCTGATCTTTTTCTAAGTAGAAGACCAGAACTTCCTTTCGAGGCTATGAAGCACTCAAACCTTTAACATTGTTTGCAGTAGTGGAGAGTGTTAACCATTTGTTAACCACCCAAGGATTCCATGAAAACATTTACCTTAGAAAGGGCAAAGTTGGAGGGGTCCGTGCTTTACTTAGTTTGTAAAATGCAGCTAACACTGTCTCTGAAAACAGAATCTAATCACACCCTGTATACAGAGCTAGCATTCAATTAATACTGCTGAGTGATTACATAATAACTTCCAGGAACTTCACTTAATGGTAAGGCCTGTCTACCTTTTTGGAAATAAATGGCTGACTTAAAAAAAAAAAAATACTATGAGCTGAGGTCAGATCTTGTTCCCAAACCCAACTGTAAGAGACAGGACGAACTCATTCCAGTCCAGCGTCACAGCTCAGAGACTGTAAACAAGGGCTGTGCAGGGATAAAGAATGCCTAGATTCTCAGGATTATAAGGAATCCTATGGCCTGTTCCCATGAATGTGCCGCGGGCACAGTCACTCTACGAGTCTTATGAAGCACATACACAGTGCCTGACTTTGTTTAGCGACAACAAAGGGGTCAAAGACTTGAGACAGAAGAAGGAATAGGACACAGGCTCCCTAAAGCAAAACCAAATCAAACCCAACCAGAAAAACTCCTCAGTCTCCCGAGGGAAAGGATCACAGTTGGCTGACACTTTAAATTAGAAAATACGTTCTTTGTTTAGCAAAAATAAAATTAAAAGAAGGAAAAATCTGTTTTTTAACTGTGTGGTCATCTACTTATTTTTAATTCCTCATGAAAATATAGTAGATTTCAAAGTCATCATACTACACATATATATACACACATTCTCTCTCTCATGGTTGCTTCCTTTTCGTTACTGCAACTTCAACCTACAGACATGACCATTATTCTACGGTACAAGAATGATTAAGTAAGTACCTGGCTTCATATTTTAGAACGAGAAACAGAGCAAAAAGTCTTAGAAACAGCAAAGTACAGTTCAGTGGGATGCAGATAAATCCTAGCAGAGAGAAACATTACCCAATTAAGCATTTGCAATTTTTTTTTTACTATTGAAAGTGCTCCATGATAAATTTTACGGAGAAAAATATTCCTAAGTGTTCCTTATCTTAATGGCAGACAAGAATGTAAAGACTCATGTAATAGAGGAAAAAAAAAGACTCTACTCCATGTAATACTATGATGAGTAGATTAAAAACCAAAAAACACCCAAAACCTAGGCCCACTGCCAACAAGCTGGTTTTATCTCATAGTGACCCTACTGGATAGAGTAGAATTGCCTCATGAAATTGATTTTTGGGTTTGCTGTTACAAAGAGCCAGTCCCTGGGAAGACACCATGGCAGAAAAAGTAAGCAAAAGGCAGCAAACAAAGCCTCCACAGGACGGACTGACACAATGACTGAAACCATGAGCTCAAGTACGTCAGGGATGATGAGGATGGCACAGAACGGGGCGCGGCACAGACCTGCTGGGTCACTGTGAGTCATGAGCAGCCTGACGGCACCTAACAGCAACAAACACCTCTATGGAAGCAGGCTTGTTTCACCCACTGGGCCACAACCTTAAATGTATTGGTGAATTAAATGAGTCTTTATATCTTGTAACCCTATCTGTGACAGCAAGTCACTAAGAATAAACAAAGGCTGGAAAAGCCTTCGCTTACTTTATCCAATTAGGAACTCCCTTAAAAATGCCTGATGTGGTATGTGTAGGGAGGACCCTTTTAAAGTCCATGTAATTACACAGTTTACTAGACTGGAGTTATGGAACTTAAAAACATTTACTCTAAGAATCTCTTAACACACAGCTAACAAGTCAGTGTGCCTTTCAGGAGGAGCTGGAGAGAGGAGGGAATAATTTTTTGTTTGTAAAATAATTCAACTGAGCTCTTTAAGGTTTTCTTTTGTTTCTGTTTTAAGAAGGAAGAACAAACCAAAAACTCCATTCCTACCCCAATCTGACCCTGAGCAGAAATGATAATATCTTTTTATGTGCTTAAACTGTAAAAGGATAAAGGTCTCATGTAAATGAGCAGTCAGAGTAAACACACGCTTACCTGATGTGGCCGATCAGTTCAATAAGCTTGTGGCTAAAAAAATAAGCTGTCAGTTCAGACACATGACTCAGGACTGAACAGACCCCAAAGAGGGTTGTCGTTCCATTCAGGTCTTCCAAATGCCAGTAGAGAAATGTGAACACAAAGCCATAGCCAAAACCCATAAACCAAGCCACAAAGAGCACAGAGCCATACTGCACGCTGCAAAGAAGTTTGATTAAGTCCCAAAAGTTGAAGGCCTGTGTGTGGCTCGTGGTGGTCTGCGTCTCCTCAGAGGATTCTGTGGAGTTGTTCCTCTCCACCTGTGGGATCTCCACCTCTTTTCCTTTAGTGTCATTGTTGTTGAAGTGGTTGTAGCGGAACCGGAACTGAGTAGCAACAATCAAGGCCATGGTCATGAGTACACCAAAGACAATGAAGACAATCTGGTAGTTCCGGTACTCAGGGGGCTTACACCCCTTTCCATCAATGAGCACTTCTATATGGGTGTAGTCAATCCCAATGCCTACGGAGAGCATCGCCAAGCCCCAGCCCAGGGAGCCCCACATGCGCTGCAATCCATAGCGGTCTCTGTGTTTCCCCAGATACTGGAGTGTAACTGTGTCCACAATCGTGACAGAAGAGGCACTGAAAAATTCTCCTATTATGACGACTACCAAGATTACCAGGAATATAGCTTCAACTTCTTGCTGATCATAAACCAGAATGACTTTGTCAGAAGGTACAGCTTTGGTGGTAGTAACAACAGCAGTGGTTGATTCCCTGGTTATATTTCCTAGGGGAACAGAGACAACTGTGCTTGGGCTTAAGGTCAAGTCCATGATATGGTCCGTTATCTCACCTGGCTGAGGCTGCAGAGTGGGTTCCGTGCTCTTGCTTGGAGCTAACGTAAAGGTAACAGGTTCTGAGACGTTGGGCTCAATTTCTAATGTCAGTGGACCGCCGGAAGGCAGGAGGTCCCTTTTCTTCCGCGTTTCTGGTAATGGGGAGCCAAGAGTGAGAGAAGAGACAGTGGAAAAATTCATTGGCAGGCTGGTTAGCACGTGACTTGCATTAGTGGGGTGAGCTGTTGGGGGAATCTTTGGTACACATCTCAAGGTAGCAGGCTTGACAAATCCAATGCCCAGGTTGAACAGAACCCAACACAGAAGAGAAAAGAGCAGGACAAGTTTGCCTTTCTTAAAGCGATCCGCAACGACACCCCAAAAGGGCGCACTGCAGAATTCAATGAAGTAGCGAATACCTACTAGCAGCCCACTCTGGCTTGGAGACATCCCCAGCTGTTTGTAATACACGGGCAAAAGTGGGTACAGAGAGCCATAGGCAGAGTAGAAGAAAAAATAGAAGACCTTGGAAATGAGAAGATCATTGTTTATCTTCACACAGTGCTTCTCTATCCAGTCTATTTCCTCCTCTGAGACGGCAGGGGTTTCTGTGGAGGAGGGTGTTTCATTTGAAGGTGGTTCTGGCTCCCTGGCAACACCATTAAAGGGATCAGCAAGCACGTACTTCCTCTTCTGTTCCTCTTCATCATCAGTTAAGATGGCAACTTTATCGTCTGCCGCCATGGCTCACCACCACCATCCGAAATTCTGCCACCTTCAAGATTCTGATTGTTGATCTGTAAAGTAAAATTTAGGAGATGGCTTAGTAATGAAAATTGTAACAGCTTAATCTATGCAGGAACCTGAGGAGTTCCAAACTGTAGCGAAAAATAACCGTGAGAGAGAGGTCATTTGTCACTGGCAGTCATAAAATACCTATAAAGGAAAATAAAAAATCACATCTTCCAAAGGCAGCATTAGGGTTCAGGTTTATTCCCAATCCTTTCATTAATTCCTAGGGAAAATGTACAGCTGCTGGGGTTATGTCTAAAGTAAACATGAGAGGCTGAAAGCAAAAATTACTTATAGTTTCTTGGTTTTGCTATTTAAACAAATCCATTGCTCCGTCATGTCTGGAATGCTTTTGGAAACAGAGGGAAGTTAAAAATCATTCTGTTTACAGAGAAAAACCAAAATAAGCTCTTGACCATAACCACAATTGTAATAAAAGGCGCTAACTGCACATTTGCCACTGGAATTCAGCACTATACCCATGACAATAAAACCTGGATGCTAACCATTTTCATGTTGCTTTTTATGATTTATATTTTCCCAGAGGCATTTTTATGGATATCTGTTCAAGAGAATCTCGGGAGTGGGGTAGAATGGGGACAGCCAACATTTCTTGAGTTTATAAGGACAAGGATCAGTACAAGAGATATACTGACCCGGAGAAGGCAGCAATGAATGGACTCACGTGTATGGGAGTTGGTGAGGACGGCACAAGATAAGGCAGGGCTCAGATCTGTTATTCGCTGGGTCACTGTGAGCTGTACTGGACTCAACAACAACAAAATGTGCAGGATGGTGCTCTGGTGGCCTGGAGGGGAATATGAGCTGCACTACCAACCCAAAGGAAGCTGGTCTGGATCCACTAGCTGTTCATGTGGAGAAAGACAATCTCCTCCAACGTGATTTACTGCCTGTGAAAACCTGCCGAAGGGTCTGCTGAGTTGGTTCAAGCTTGATGACACATAACAATGTTTTGGATAACAAAATGCTATTAAACCTCTTCAAAATTCATGGTGTTTTCATGTGAGATTAGCAATATATCAGCACTATAAATTCACAGGAACTGTGTTACATCCCATCAGAATTCCTTTTTTCCTATTATGCAAATGATGTAATAATCACAGTCTTTCTTGCATCAATGTTTTTAATGTAAAATTTCAATAGATATATTCCGACTACAGGTGGTAGATAATTGCAGTGATTACTCTTCATCCTCTCTGCCAGATGGAAATATCAACATCATTTGCCATTCCTTGGTTATCTCCTTTCTCCTTACAAAAATGAATAACTTTCTGAAAATCTTCCAGAATTATGCTTGCAGATTAGTTTTCAATCTGTAACAAAGCTCTAGGCATACAGCAGAAACACTGCTTAATAAAGGCTTGTCATTAGATAATTTCTATTTTCCCCTAAAAATTAATATTTCAACACAGCTAGAAAGCTTTAAAAATTATTACTAATTTCTTAATGGCTAAATAAAAATATTTCCCAGAAAACCTGAAGGGATATAAAGCAAAGTCCAATCTTTTGTTGCCCAGCAATTAAAGATTTCCTACCGAGTTCTATACTTTATTTCCTTTCTTATTGTTGCCTTCATCTATCCAAGTCAGCTGTGTATACTGATCAAGTTCTAACTCCATTTCATCATCTTTTCCCTCCCCCAAAACACACCTAAATATTCTTTGGACTTAGTTTTATAATAATCATCTAAAAATACAGAGATGGGTGTTAAAAGTAGAGTCTGCTTGTTTTAAACAAAATATTAGAAATGCACTGATTTTTTTCAGTTATGCCCATAACTAATTTTAAAAGTAAAAATAGAAAAAAAGACATGTCATCTGAGTTATGTCTTTGGAAAAGACAGTAATTCCTATCAGCCACTAGGATCCTTTTATCATTGGCTAAAAATATTATCCAGAATAGTACAGCATGTCCAACTGCACGCATTCTCACCTAGTGCTCCAGAATGGCCTTTAATTATTCATTCCATTAATCTTCCATAAATCAACCAGTACATTCTCACCAAGTATTTTAGAGAAAGAACATCATTTCCTGAATAAGCAAGTGATGCTCCAGAACTGATGTCCAAGGACTAATTCACCCTCCAAAGTATCTTACATCAGAAAGTTGACTGAAATCTCAGTTAAGTATCTTTCTACTCATTCTTCCCTTTCTTAGTTAAAATAATAGGTCTATCTTCATAAGGGTATGATAAGGTCCTCCTGGTACATATGATCAGTCATTTTCAAAACATCAACACTGCAAAGCAAGTAAGGAAATGCTTACAAAGTAACAGGAAGCATTTTGTTTACAAATGTCAAACACAGTAACTTTCATATAAATTTCAAATCCAAATATATGAACAAAAACTATTTAATTCATGACATCAATTGTTAGACTTAATATTTTCTGGTCATATATAGACTTTGATAGTAAAGCAATAAAGCATAACTACAGTCATTCATGTAAATACAGGATCAGAAACAAGAACAAATAATAAAATGCTTGTATTTTAATCAAATTAGAGTATGTCCCAAAGCCGGATATGCTCTGGTTTAATTAGATCAAGTTCAATGTGCCATAATACTGTTAGAGCAATATTTTTATTTTGTTGTTAGACCAACAAAAACATTTATATGGTGGATGAGGTAATTAAACTGCTTACAAAGTGTGGGAAGTGTTGCTTATTAAATCATATACCAACATAAAGCATATTTTAAATTTCTGAGTGTTAAGAGTTCGTTTGGATGTTTTTAAAAAATGAAACTTGGAGGGAATATAAGGAGGACAGAGACATTTCAAATTATGCATAAAATAAAACTTATGAACTCTGGAAAATTCATCTTTGTTGCAATTTTATAATTAAGCTTAACTGGATTTAGAGAACATTTGTTTTATTAGAAAACCAAAAGTTTGCTCATCTTCACTATCTAATAACAGTCATCAACACCAGTGCTGTCCAAGTATAACACAGTCTCTTTTTAAACCCTATAAAGAGATTCTGTTTCTACCAGTACCTCCACTGAGTCACTCAAACAGCAGGTATGTCTGAATTATTGATGAGAGGAGATGAAATCGTTCTTGTTAAAATTTATAGCTTTCACCATTAAATATTTAAATTAAAACTGCTCAGAGAGAAACTGAGTGATCCACAAATACATGACCTAAGTGTGTAAATGGGTCTAAGTTACTAAGGGATTTTTTTTAAATGGAAATTAGTGTTTGAGTATATTATTATTTGTAATAATAGTAATCAGAGATCAGATTTCTAACCATGATGGTATATAGTGAAGGTAACAAGAGCTACAAAGCAGCAGCGACATACCAATCAGTGACAAGGGCCACACACTCCTGGAAAACACAGAAGGGACACGCTTCATTCACACCACTGTCCAAATCTGCAGCTACAAAACGAGGACATCTACTTCTTGAGCCCTCTCGGTCACTCCTGTTCATTCTCTGAGCCTTTGAGCAGTATATCAGAGGAGGACTGGAACTGCTAGTGCAAATTATCAGCATGGTCCCTTTCGACTCCTGGGATTCACTAACTATACTCAAATATATTAAAAAAATTGAGCCTCAGTATTTCTAGAACAGAGATTTCTTCAAAGGCATTGCACTGAGAGTCCGTTTGAGTAACCCCCCCCCATAAATACTGCTTTGTTGTTGTTGTTGTTGTGTGCCATCAAGCTGGAACCATAGCTGACCCTCCAGTTGGTTTTCAGAGGCAATAAATCACACAAGAGGAGATTGCCCAACACACTCTCGCGGAGCAGCTGGTAGGCTTGAACGATGTGCCTTTGGGATTCCAGCACAGCTTCTTACCACTAGGCCACAGAACTCCCTAAAATACTACTTTATTGTTGTGTGCTGTCAAGTCAGAACTGACCCATAACTGCCCCTCGAGTGGGTTTTACTAGGCAGTTAACTGCATGAGGGGGTGTGTGTGGGGGGAGACTGTCCATCCTTCTCCTGCAGAGCCATCTGGTAGATTCAAACCATGTGCCTTCAGGGTTTCAGCTCAGTTTCTTACCTCTAGGCCACCAGAGTTCCCTTTTGAAATACCACTTTGTTGTATTTGAAAATTGTGTTACCTGTGACTCATAGCAACTTATGTACAACAGCTCAGAAGCCTGCCCTGTCCTGAGCCAATCTCATTGACTCTGACACACCTATTCCCACCGCCCTAGTTACTTTATCAATCCATCATTCCTCCACCCTGCTGAGCATGATGTCCTCCAAGGGATCAGTCCCTTCTGGCCATATGCCCAAAGACAGAGCTTCAAAATACTAGCCTCCAAGGAGAAACTTGGTTTGTTTCACTTGCTTCAAAAGTGACCTATTTGTTTTCTTGGTACTCATGGTATGTTCAAGGCTCTTGTTCAGCACCACAACACAAAGGCATCAATTCTTCTTCTATTATCACTAGTCATTATCCAGCTCTCTGATGCATAGAAAGTAACTGCAAAGACCATGGACTTGACCTTAGTCTCTAGACTGACATCATTGCCGTTCAGTATTATGTAAAGGTTCCTGACAGGAGTTGTGTCATCTGCATAATGTAGTCTGTTCATGAGTCTTCCTCCAATCCTGATGCCACATTCCTCTTCACAAAGCCCTGCTTTCCAAATGATCTGTTCTGCATAAAGATTGAGGTATGGGAACAAGACACATCCCTAACACACTCTCTTCCTGATTTTGAACCATGCAATGTTTCCTTGCTCTATTCTAAGGACTGCTTCCTGGCCCAAGTATAGGTTTCACGTAAGCCCAATAAAGTGTTCTGGGATTCCCATTCTCCTCAAGGTTAACCACAATTTGTTGTGATCCACACAGTCAAATTCCTTTGCATAGTCAATGAAACACAGATAGATATCCCTCTGGTACTGTTTGCTTTCTGCCAAGATCCTGCTGGCATTGGCAATAATGTCTCTAATGCCACGACCACTTCT